CCTGAGTCGGGAGCGGGCTGGGAGGGGTGTCGTAGGTGTGAGCGGGCGGTGGTGGGGGCAAGGCCCCTGAGGCTAGAGTGGGATGCAGTGGGGGGCGGGGTGGGGGCTAAGGAGTGAGCGGGCTCCAGTGGGGGCGAGGCTCCTGCAGTGTGAGCGAGCGGTGGCAGGGGTGGGCCTCCTGAGGCATGAGTGGTGAGGGACAGGGCTCCTGAGGCGTGAGCGGTGAGGTGGTGTGGCTCCTGTGGCATGAGAGGGTGGTGGGGTCGGCGGGGCTCCTGAGACATGAGTGTTGTGGAGACGGGGCTCCTGAGGCATGAGTATTGTGGAGATGGGGCTCCTGAGGCGTAAGCGGGCCTGGGGGCGGGGATCCTAAGGACTGGTGTGCGGGGGAGGGTCTACTGATGCGTGACCAGGCCAGGGTTGGCGGGGGCGGGGCTCCTGAGACTCCTGAGGTGTCCTCAGGCCACGGCGGGGATGGGCTCAAAAGGAGTGAACCCGCCGTTGGAGGCGGGGCTCCTGAAACATGCACGGTCCGGGGGCGTGGCTTCTGAGGCGTGAGCTGGGTGGGGGTGGGGTTGCTGAGGGGTGTGGGTGCCGGGTCAGCGGAGGCTGGACTCCTGAGGCCTGAGCGGTTAGGAGAAGCGGCCCCTGAGGCGTGAGTGGGCCATGTCGGGGGTGGGGCTCCTGAGGAATGAGTGCACGGGTCAGGGGCGGGGCAACTGATGCGTGAGTGGTTGGGGCAGGGCTCCTTATGCGTGAGAGGGCCGGGTTGGTTGGGGCGGGGCTCCTGAGGGGTGAGTGGGCCAGTGTCGGTGGGAGTGGGGCTCCTGAAGCGTAAGCCGGCGGGGACAGTGGGTGGGCACGGGGAGCTCCTCAGCGAGGCTTGGGGTGTGGCGGGGGTTGGCTTTCGGGCCCTGAGGTGCTGTCCCTACAGTGTCCTCGCAGGACCCCGTGGGATAGGGGGTGGCCCCTGATGTCAGGGTGGGGACTGGGGGTAGGGGCCGCCATCACCATCTGCTTTGTCCGTTCCTGGTCCAAGAGGAGCCATGAGGACATGTAGTCTGAAGTGCGCCCTGGGCCGATGCCCGGCATCGTGCACTGACAGTTTCCCCATTCCTTTAACGTGTGCTTTCTTGGGCCCACAAGGTGCAGGACAGTTGTGTCCACCACGGAAGACACCTCCAGATGATGCCGCCTGGGAGGAAGCACCTGGAGAAAGCTGAGAAGGCCTCGAGGGAGGCTGAGGACATGGCAGCCTGTGACCCTGGCATGCAAGAGTGGAGAGAGCTCATGAGGCTAGAGGAGGGCCCCGAAGGTACCGTCTATCTGACCCCTTTGCCGGTACAGCACGCAGCGCAGGGACGGTGCCCCTGGGGGCACTGCTTCTGAGTCCTCCACATTGTAAACAGCAAAGTCCGTGTGTGTGGGAAGCAGTTTCGTGTACTGGAGGTCGCCCACCTGATCCTCCTGTCCCAGACCAGGATCACAGAAGCTGTACAGGAGCTTCCTGATCACAAGAGCTGATTACAGAAGCAGCTCTGCTGCCCAGGGGGTTAGAGTGCCCAGAGTTCCGCGGGATTCCCAGCTGCTGGGCTAAGTGTCCCGGGGTGCTTCGGTCCAGTTTTAGAGTCCCTGTCCCTTTAAGACTTTCCAAAAGCACTCGCTTTTCTTTGTCCCTGGGGTGCTGGCTGCGGGGACCCACTCACAGGTCTGACTGTCCTGTTTCCCTAGTTTTCAGGACCCCAAGCAGGCACTGTGTCTGCGCTCCGGTACTGATGGCTAGGGCTGGCTATTTAGCAGTCCTGGTCTCCCTCTCTCTTCCCGCTCCGACTCCTCTCCTCCCGCCGGGAGCTGGGGTGAGGGCACTTGGGTCCCGCCGGGCTGCGGCTTGTATCTTACCCCCTTCACTAGGTGCTGGGTTCTCACAGGTGTGGATGTAGTCTGGCTATTGTCCTGAGTCTTCTGGTCTCTCTTTTGTATTTGTTGTATTTTCAAAAATATGTGTGGTTTTGGGAGGAGATTTCCTCTGCTCTACTCACACCGCCATCTTAGCTCCTCCCTCTAAGTAACTTTAAGTAAAACTTTTACTCTGCTTCATTACTATTTCTCTGCCCTTCAATTCTTTGTTGCAGCAGGTACAAGAACGGAGGAAAATACACAACGCTTCCCCGTAACAGATATTCTCCATCAGATTATAGAAAGATATTTTGTACATAGACTCTATCAGATTAGGAGAGTCCCCCTCTGTTCATAGTTTGCCATTTTTTAAAATGATGAATATTTTATCAAGTGCTTCTTTGACATCTATTGAAATTATAATATGGGTTTTGTCCTCTAATCAGTTAATTTGGCCAATGGCATTTGTAGATTTTGCAGTCCTAGGTAGGGCAAGCCAAAATTTGCTGTAAACCTAAAATGGCTCTAAAAAACGTCTATAAAAAAACTCCACCAGGGAGCCTAGTAAACATAATGTTCTTCATGTAATTGTAGATTAATGATAACAACAACAACAACAAAAAACCCCACCAAATTGCAGAAGCATCTATACAATACAGTATAATTTATGTGAAGTTTAAAAACTTACAGGAGTATTTACATATTTATGGAAATGAGTATGTAGTAAAAACACAAGAACATGAAAAAGATGAAACATGCTATCATAGGGTATAAAATCAGAACTCTTTATGAAACATAGTTGGTGTTTCTTCAAGTAGATTTAAAATAATGAAAAGGGTTGTTGCATTTGGACCTATAAACACAAATTGGCCAGCAGTATTTTTACGTATGTCTATTTACAAGTTGTTTTTATCCTCTCAAGTGACTTTTTTCCCCTTACGTTCATTTTTTTTTTTGTATGTGTGTGTGTGTGTGTGACTGTGTCTTTTTTATTGGTGCATTCAGACCATTTACATTTAGGATGATTATCGACAGGTATGTAGTTATTGCCATTGCAGGCTTTAGATTCGTGGTTACGAAAGGAAGTGCGTTTTTAAGGAATAGGCCTAGGGTGTGTTCTGCGTTGGTGATTGGATCTTAAGTGATGGGCATCGTAGCGTGCCAGAACTTGCCTTCATTCTCATCTTTTCTTAATAGGGCCTCTGGGGAACTGTGTGTAGAATCTCATTCTCTAGCTACTTCCTGCTGGAAGGGGGCGCAGATTCTGGGGTTGGAGAGGCCACTGCTGTAGAGTTGGGGAAGGGTGGGCATCTTGAGATGATTTGTGATGTCATCATAGCTGGTTTCATTATTCATGAAAAGGCCTTGATAGCCCTGGAGGAGTAACAAATCGGAGGCCGGTGCTGGGCGGGAGATCGAGCGACCGGGGAGATGGAAGGTGGGTTCGTGGAGGAGGATCAGGGAGTGAGGGCTCCCAAGGCAGCTCAAATTCCCAAGCGAGAGATTTTAATGGCCGTCTCTAGGAGGAGAGCAGTCCCCTTCCGGTCATTTTTCAAAAACCTTTTATTTTTAAGTCACCATAGACTCCCACAGAGTTGCAGTCCTGATCACCTTCGCAGCTTCTCTTCCTGCTGCCTCAGTCTTGTGATCCCATCTTTTCTTTACACATTTCTATTTCCCATGTTCTGTCTGACCGTCAATTTTAGAAGTCCCCAAGGGTTCCAGCCTGTTCTTATTTCTGCCGACAGAGGCACAGTGCTTCGTTTCCTTGTATACTTTAGTGAAGTTTGTGAGGTGTTTCTTTTTGATTGATCTGAATCTATGGACAACCTGGAGGCCTAAACTGAGCTCACTTTTCTCTAGAGGTTTGCTTTTGCCTCTGCCGGGAGCGCCACCACCCTGGATCCATCTTTGTTCCCAGCCGGGTCTCAAGCTCAATCTAGCGACCTCTGCCCCACCTCCCATCACGGTAAGTGTTGCTCATGGTGGCTCCACGGGCCCTTCAGAGACCTTCCTCCCGGGAACTGGCCTGAGG